ATAATCTACATTCACTGATAATATTTTTATTATTTACATAGATCATTAAAGTAACAGGTATTGTGCGTTAATTTAGGGACTGATTCATTAGGAATATTATGCAGGCATAGCTATGTTTGCCAGCTGTAGCAAACCCTGCACTCACTGTGTTATTTCTGATACTCCTGAGATCTGATATGGAAAAATAAGGCTCAAGTCTCCACTGAAGCCATATCACCCATAATACCTGATATAAATTTTTGACTGCAATAGTTTTTTCTGTTGTCTTCAGTGGACCTTGTATTAGATCTTAGAAGGCAAAAATAGTTTTCAGACTAAAAAGAAGAGTATCTTTGAAAAAGCAAGCATGTGTATTCTTATAAACAACATGTGAAGAACAATCATTGTGCCTTGGCCCCAGACTAACTCTTTGTGATCATCACTATCAGCTGCCTCTCCAAAAAAAGAGAGATTTCTAAAATTTTAGATTATTTACAAGTCTGATAAACTCTTTTTTTTCAGGAATGCAAACATAAGAAAAAGAAAAAAAAAGGCAAAAAAAAAAAAAAAGGAGAGGCAGCATCTCAAAGAAAGGGCAATAGGACTTTTACGTTTAAATGGAACAAGGAACTTTTAAACCGCTTTATTGATGTAAAAACTACACCAGCAAATTCATCAGAAGATGATCTATAAAACAATGACAAATGATAGAAAAAAAAGAATATGGTCATATATGCAATGCCTGTAAAAAATATTACTGTAAGTGGCTTCAAATATTTGGGAGACTTCTGAATAAACCGTACAGATTTTACCTCTATGCTTTTGTTAACTATATTGCTCCAGGATCATAAAAGTCTCCAAACTGTATTCAAGAGGTAGTTGATAGAGAAAAAAATGAACTGCAAAAGAAGTGCATGCAAATCATTTTGAACTTATATAGCACATTATTTATGCAAAGGAGCCAATGTATGCAAATACTTTTAATATATATGTAAAATTATCAGAAAAGTACCCACCCAAAAGAAAAGAGAAACTTTATAGAGAGCCTTGTTAAAATTGATATGCCATTTCTGGTAATAACCAGTTAGAAAACTCCCTTTATATTCCTCTGTGTGAGTAGAAAAATAGTTATTTCTAAAGAAACTAACAAAAGCTCCCTCAGTTTGATTTTGATATAAACAAAATTGTGAGTGTAAGTTTGTCAGCAAGTTTGTCTAAAAAAGTTATCACTGATTTTGTTCTGTGAAGTCCTGATTGCCACTGAATCTGGATGTATGTGATATCTGTATCTGAATATGAATCTGTAGTTTATTCATCACTGATGCTCTCAACTATCCAGACCTGAAAGTAACAAGTGAAACAAGTGAACATCTGAGGAAAGACAAAGACAAAAATACGTGGAACAACTCACTGTATGCCAGAGCCTAATCCTTTGCATTATCTCAGAATGGAAAACAGAAAAAAAACAAGGGAGGGAAAATATGATGAATGAAAGAGAAAATAAAATTAGAAAAACAGTAATTAAGTATGCATATTTAAAGGGTAGTAAAGTGAATATATTTTCTACATGGGTAAGCTAAATTAGATTAATCCTACCTCTTGAGTCAGTATATTATATACTGTTACTTTGTGTAATCTTTAAGGAGAGTTGTACAAAGAACATTTGAAACTGGTCATTTTTCATGAGAGCTTGAGAAACTCCCATAGGCTTCTCCAACTCTGATCAATTAGATACACATAATCCAGAGGAATAAAGGAATAAAGACGATGAAGGATAAATTATGGAAAATTAAATTAAGACCAATTAAGGATGTGCTAGCACTGACTGACTGACAGAGACCCTACGCTGCACACAGTATGTCTTGAAGCTGCAGAGGACATTGCCTGATTGTGGGGCAGGGTCATCCCTTGGTCCTGCTGCCCAATGGTCCAGGCTGAGGGAGGCCCCCTGGGATAATTAAAAGAAATCAGGGGGATGTAGAGAGATAGTGTATACCCAGGTCTTAGCTTGAAACAGAAATGCAATGATGAAAAGACTTAAGGTGAAAGGGGAAGCTCAGTGCAAATAAGAATGACATACAGGGTTATGTTATAAGCATTTAGGTAGTTTGGTGCTCAATATAGCTTGAATTCAAGGCCATATATTATTATTATTATTATTATTATTAGAAATAAAAGCTACATACACCAAGCAACTTCCCCTTCAGGACCTGTTATTTGGAAGACACAGCTTTTTAATACCAAGAAATTTTGCATAGATATGGTCCCAATCTTCCTCATTCAGTTTTATATTTGAACTTCCTCAACATTCAATACATTCAAGAGCATCTTTTTACTTTGATACTACTTTTAAAGAGGAAAAACAGTGAAAGAGGCGTAAGAAAAAAAAACAAAAGTGTTTCAGGTATAGTTCCTACTTTATATTGCTTTAGGTGCCAGCTCCACCATTTTACCTTACCATGTGATAGATAAAAGGTCAGTGGTGGTAAGCCATATCTTTTACTACCTTTATCTTTTTTAATGTAATTGACTGGAGATGAAAGAGTAATAACTCTTTGGGGGGGTCATTTTTTCATAATTTTTATTTTTTTCTAAGGTAATTTTTTTTTTTTTTTTTTTTTTTTTTTTTTTTGTAGAGAGTCATGTCTATGACCGAAGGAACTCTCTTTTTTTCTCCTTAAATTCCTGTTCTATGTTATACTGTATTCTACTCTGAAGAGGTAAATTACCTGAATAGTTCCTGAAAACACCTTTTTTTCTTTAATCAACTTTTTTGAGTCCTTTATTTCCTCAACAGTGACATTTAACAGATGGAGTCAAAAGTTGATGTCAGTTGTCTCCTACCCTATATTTTTAATCATGGTGTTTTTTTGCAAAGAGATAATAAGCACCTAAAATTTTGTCTCAGTCATTTCTATTCAGCATCTATATTCATGTCTTTTCAAATAATCTGTTTCTTCCTACCCCTTGCTGTCAGAAGCAGAGTGATGTTCCTGGTGACTACTCTTTAGTTAAAGTTTTAGTTCATCTTTCAAAATCCAGTATTTATAACTGAGGTTCTGAGCTATATGAAAGCTTAGTGTTTGTGAAACTCCTTCTATCTTTCTCTCTCCGAGCAGGCAGGGCCTTCAAAGACCGTGGATTCTGGAACTAACTCTGTATACTAGTAGAGCGAAATGGTGGATCTGGAAGAGGAACTATAATTTTACCAGGACTAGAAAGCCAATCATTGCTCCTCACACAGTTCATTGTTCAAACACAGTTTTTCCCTCAAAACTCTGAAATGCACATACTTTGTTGCTGATGCTCCTATAAGATTTTTTAACATTGTTTGGTATTCCGGAACATAACTAGGTGAAAAGTAGACATTAATTTCTTTAACATCCTGATAATAATACATTTATGATGCTGCTTCCCAAAAAGAATGCTAAGATAATGAAAAGATTCAATATTACCGTGGAAGTTCATAATATATTAGTGATAACCTAGCAAAACAGAGGCAAGCACTAGCTAATTTATATTAAAAAAAATAAAAATAAAATAACATGTTGAACACTACCAATAGGATATGACTTTCTTAAAAGTACTCACATACATGCTGTATGTCACAATTTATTTTTTTTCCTTATGATACTGGCACACTATAATGTGTTTAACAAAGCTTCTGTCCATATATTTACCTTTTTTTTTTTTTAGATTTAGAAAAGGGCTCAAATTAGATATTCATTTTCCTGAACTGAATGTGCGTGTATCCTGCATAAATAGTGCATAAATATTTTATGAATCAGACCCTTAATTTTCACAATTTCAGAGGGATTTACATGCATCCCTCCAAAAGGAATAGCACCTATCCTCATCTACAAATAAAATAGAAATATTTTATTTTAATACTATCAGAAGCTTTCATTTTTGGCTTTCAAGTGCAATGCTTTTTTTGTTTGTTTGTTTTTGTTTTGTTTTGTTATTTGTACAGTAAAATTGTTTTCTTTTGCCTAAAGAAAGAAAAACGGCAGTGTACATTTTAACTGATATTTAATATGAGTGTATGTGTAACACTGCAGGCACAAGACCAAATATTCTCCACAAAAATGATATGTCAATACAAGGCTCCCAGACTGGCACTATTGACATGCCTTGTGGTCAAACCAGCAATAAAAAAAAACACAAAAAAAAAAAAAAAAAGTGGGTTTTCACAAAGTAGATTAGAAAGACAGATGAGAACTGATAAGAAGATACCTGTCTGCAAGGACCTGAAGTTAGACCTTAAATCTCCCATCTGTAGACTGTCAAAGAACTAATGATTTCTTGTCAATAAACCCAAACATCTGATTTGAAGTAATTGCCATGAAACCGATTCAGGCCACAAAAGTCAAGGGTAAATATCCTTTTAACATCAATGACTTCTGAATCAATCCCCAGAGAGAGAAGGCTTCACGGACAAATGCAGTTCCCTCAACTATAAAGGAATACAAAATTGAACAAAATGATTGCCACTCTTGGTTTGGCAATGTAAATCTTGGTTTAAAATCCATTTAAGAACAGGCAGATTTAGCTTTGATTCAGTTATTGAGATCTGAATATAGTTTGAGTTCAGATGTGTGCATGTTGAAGTATAATGTAGTCAGCTATCACTGGAGGTAATAACCACTGAAATACATTTTAACTCATCTGTTTACTGTATCTTAGATATTGAGGCTACCCATTGTTTTCCCTCCTACATAAACTTTTACATCCATATTGTAAATTTTTATACACATATAATTAATATTTTTAATTTAATGGGCATTAAAAAAAATCCAATATGCTTCCCTCAGTTATTCTGTCTCTTTAGAAACAAATTCTCAAGCTTATTTTTTTTTTAGTATTAGTTATAAATATAGTGTAGTCAGATTATTTCAACAGATTTTACTAATAATCTGAAGATTAACTTAAAGTATCTTCCCCAAAAAAAGATTAAGAGATGCACTTTTATTTGAAGTTATTTTGAAACAAGGCTTTTTGTTACTAGAAGGCTTATCTGTCTTACCTGACTCTGGTTGTCCAGAGTTTGGATGAACTCATTTACATGTAATCACTACCTCTATAACCTCAATTTTGTATCACTGAAATAAATAAACCGCAAACGATAATTTAATTTGGGAGTCTTGTCAAGGGGCAAAAATCTGTTCCCAGCCAATGTTGTGACTGTCACTGTTACTACAAAACCTGGCCTGTGTTTGGAAAAAAATATATTTTAAGGGAAATCATAAATACTGACTTCTGAGCTATATTGCAGGTTAAATATTGGTTTCCCTTTCTGAAGGATCTTCTAGAGCTTTGTTGGTTCTGCTGGAAGCATCATCATTCTCATTGTTTGTTAATGGTTCGGCTTCTTTTGGGTCCGCATTCTTCTGTGCTTTCTGCTTCTCGTCTTCTATTTTTTTTTCTCTTGCCAAAAGCCTGTAGTTAATGGCATTGCCAATGAACAACCAGATGCTGGCCACAATCACGATCACTCCGCAGACAAAATACATGTACTGATATTCTCCAGTAACATCCACTAACCAACCTGAAAGGC